TTAATAGAAAAGCCAACTTCGTCAAATTCCACAATTACAAAATTATCACGAGAAAGATTACGAACGGAAACTAAGTTCTGAATGAGATGAGGAGAAACAATGACATTATTAAGAGAGAGAGGTCTAGAGTTAGAGGGAAAGGGTGCAGAACCGACATGAGAGATGGGAAGACCAACACCGTTGCCGATGATGATGCGGGAGGGAGTGGAAGTGGGATGGACGGAGGAGAGGTTACCCGGATGAGCGGACATATGAGCGGTGGCACCGGAGTCCATAATCCAATCGCCGCCACCACCAGAGTAGGGTGGCGGCTGCTGCAACGCCGCTAGAAGAGCCGGGTCGTAGTAGGGGGCGTCGTACGCGCCGGGGGCGCCGTACGCGCCGTAGGAGGGCGCGACAGGAGGGGCGGGAGCACCGCCGTGGGCGCCGAGAGGCGCGGCTAGGAGCGCCTGATGCGTGCTCGGGCGGGGGCCGAGGATGCCCGGGGCGGGGGCCGCGGCACGGGCATACTATATGCATGCACGACCCCCGTCCAGGGGTTGTAGCCTCTGGCCCAGGGTGGCGGGGGCTGCTGCTGAGGAGCTTGACCACCGCCGCCGCCACCTTTCCCGCCGCCTTGGCGTTGACCGCCGCGACCGCGGCGACGGTTGCCGCCGTTCCCGCCGGTGCGCGGTGGTTGGGGCGGTTGCGGCACCGGCGCGGGGTGCGGGACGGCCGGAGGACGGGGCGCCGAGGGTGGTGTAGAGGCACCGGTGGAGAGGCCGGCGGCGAGCGCGGTGTGGACGGCGCGGGTGCGGAGGTGCTTCATCCGCCGCTCCTCAAGACGAAGATAGGCCACCGCCCGCTCGTAAGTAAGGTTGGCCATGAGGGTGAGGTTGGAGGCGGCGTTGCCGAAGTCCTCGTTGAGGCCGGCGGTGAGCGTCGAGAGGAGAAGCTCGTCGCCCACCTTGAACCCAACGTCGTTGAGCTCGTCGGAGAGGGTCTTGAGCCGGAGACAGAAGGCGTCGATGGTGGAGTCGTTCTGATGACACCCAAAAAATTCCTGCTGCAAGAAAACAATCCGTTGAAGCTTGTTGTCGGTGAAGAGGCCATTGATCTTGGTCCACACCGTGTAAGCATCGTCCCCATCTCGAACGACGGTGTGGAAGATGTCCGGAGAGACGGTGAGGAAGAACCACCGGATGAGGGTGGCGTCGATGAAGAGCCAGTTGGCGTCGTGGGCGCCGGCGAAAAAATTGGCGAGACCGTCCACATGATCACGAAGGTTGTACTCACGGAAGAGGAGATTGAAGTAGATTTTCTAGGCATAGTAGTTTGCGGAGGTGTGGCAGAGAATGATGGGGACGTGATCGGAGAGGTGGATGTTGCGGATGTCGGCGGCTTGGGGCTCATCGGGCTCGGACCCGTAGGAAGAGTCGAACGGGTTGCTAGGGTGTGCGCTGGAGGAGGAGGAGGAGGAGGAGGAGGTACCGAGGGCCGACATGGCAGCAGGGGGGATGGCGACGCGGGATGGGATTGGGAGGGGGTTTAGGGTTTCGGGAGGGAGGCGGCTCGGGGTGAGTGGCGGGGTGCGGCAGGGAGGGTGGGGGCACGACGGGGAAGATAGAGGCGCGGAGAGGAGAAGGTTGTGGTCGAGGGAGGGAGGAGGCACGGCGGCCGGGGAGGCGGCGGCGCGGTGCAGCGGGAGCGGCGGCGGCCTGGAGAGGCGACGGCGGCGTGGCTAGGGCTGGGACCGAGGGTTAGGCTGATACCATGTAAAGGAATAGGATGCAACTCTCAATATATTGATAGGTGTATATCCACAAGTATATATAGTACAAAGGGTAAATCAAATCCTCAACTATACATAAGGATGAGACTTGAAGTACAAGAATACATGTGCTAAATACATATCTCAACAGTCCGTGTGCACTATTATCCCACACTACCCGTTCTCACGAACCCGCAAAAAACACTACATTCTCATAACATAATGCCTGGCAACAAACTGGAGTTTCTACGAAAGATGGGTGACAGCAGAATGCCAACGCACTGCCATTTCTTCAAGCTTGGAACTCTGAAGTGCAGCTTTGAAAGGCAGCTAATTCTCGCTATGCGGGGTTGTTGGGGTCGCTTGAATCGGGTGCCCGCCGAAATAGCGGACTGAAGAAAATCCAGCGGAGCCATATCGATCCGGGTTCAGAGTCGAGTAGGCGCGAAAGAGACGTCTCACGCGTCTCGGGCAAAGGGACAAACGAGGCTGCGCTGCGGCCGTGCACATGAACGCATCCAGAAACGTACCACTACCAGTTGTACTAGTACACGACATGAGAAGCGTCCATGTGCGGCCAGCATGTGCCGTTGTTCCTGGCACGTGGGTGGCCCCGCTGCCTGCGTACACCCTTTTGAATTTGAGTGTCACCGCAGCAGCAAATACAGACAGCAAATTTTGACAATGTATGTCGTTACAGTTTGGACATCAGATAGCTGGTAGTCGTCGCACACGTATAAACATACCTTATTTCTGTATGTAATCAAAACCATTATCCTAAGTGGCAAAATCAAGGTGACCTCACTGGTGCAAGGACGAGAACCATCTTCACGCCTAGTGTTACCGGTGTGCAAGTGACTAACATTGGTTAATGTTCTTTAATCCTCCACCCCTCTCAGGGCTGGCCCTCTTGTGGATGCCTCATCTAGGAGGAACTAATCAAGGGGTATCCCTTGCGGGTCGCATGTTGAGCATTTCTTTGAGTTTTTTTTTTACTTTTATGTACGTGTTTTCAGTTTTTAGATGAGTTTTCCGGGGTTTTTTGGTTGGTTATTGCCTGGTTTTGAAGGTTTTGGTGGAAAAAAAGCAAAAAAAAAACGTGCTTTTTTTCTTCCATCCACGGGAGACACATTTTTGCTTCCCGTGGAGATTAGTTTTCATGAGATTGTGCCTCTTGGAAAAAGAAAAAAATATATTTTAAAACCAGGAGACACACATTTGCTTCTACGAGAGAAAGAAGCATGTTTTTTTTTTCATGGGAGGCACAGATTGGTTCCGTGAGAAGCACAACCATGTCTCCCGGAAAAGGAAAAATAAATATTTTTTCCCTTCCATTAGAGTCATAGAGTTGCTTCCGCAAGAGGCAAAAAACTCCTCTCTTTTTTCTTCCACAAGAAGCGGAGATTTGTCTCCGCGAGAGGCATAGTAGTGCCTCTCGAAAAAGGAAAAAGGTTGAAACGTAAAATCATGCTTCCAACATGTTTTTTTTTACTTTCTAGTGAAAAAATTTCGTCGAAACCTATTAATATGATATCTTAATTTGAAAATCTCAAGCGAGTAATCCAACTATGAAAACGGTTCGATTTTTGGCACACAATTTAAGAGATAAAACATTTTGAATGAAATGATCTATGAAAAAATGGAAAAACTCTCAGGTTACGATAAACAACGCACATGCAAAATGCGTCACTTGTCAACCCGTGAGAAGTTGGGAGTGGCTTTTGCAAAGTGTACCCCTTAATTAGTGATCTCGATTTTCTATTTGATTTTACACCCCTCCATCTTATGTTTCCTTTAGGATTGCTTGTTGCGTCGAGCAACTCCAATAGCCCTCGTGTCCCTAACAAACTATCGTTCAAGGAAAGTTGGGACAATAAAAGGCCTCTAACAGCTCCCATAAACCCGAAAACATTTTACGGGATTTCGTAAAAACTTATCAAAACGTGACACTGACTTGCATGCCCTAGGCCTAATAAAAAGTAAAAGAATTTACAGCAAGATATTTACAGAAACTAGAAAAGTTTTCATAACCTCCAGTAAATTACACAGACACCCTATAGAATGACTTTTACAGAATGTTTTTTAGGTGAGTACTTTGAGTTGCTCTAATAGCAGCAAACCCACGTGGGCCTAGCAACTGGGCCGGCCCAATTTGGGCGTTCATTCTGTTTACGCCACTGCTCCAATTTCAGTTCATCTATATTTCTTTTCCAGTTTCCTTCTCCTTTTATTATTATTCTTATTTTTTGTTTTTACCTTTATTTTTCATTTCAGTTTTTCTCTTTTGGGTTTCCTTTTCTGTTTTCATTTTCATTTCATAAATATAATTATTTGCACCTAAACTAGAATTTGAAAGTGCATGCTAAACATTGTTTTGATACCTGATGAAAAAAATCAATACACATGGATCATTTTTTAAACAGGTGTTGAATATTTTTTTTTCAAAAAGTGTTTAGAGAAGTTTAAGTTGTTCTCGCACAAAACTCTTTTAAATCACATATTTTGAAAAATGTTCGCCTACTTTTAAAAAAGGTCATCTTACTTAAAAGAATGTTCATGTTTTTTGAAAAGTACTCATACTTAAAAAAACATCTATGCACAGTTCTAGAAAATGTTCGCCTAGAAAAATGTATTTGGAAATAAAAGTTCCTCACTTCTATGAAAATGTTCACAGCGAAAACGAATAAACCAAAATAAAATCAAATCAGGAAGGGTTCTTGCTAGTTGGCCGGCCCGTTGTTGTTGTTGTTGTTGTTGTTGTTGTTGTTGTTGTTGTTGAAAAAAGCTTTCCGTTTTACTTTTTGGTGGTATCCGATTCATTGCTAGGCTACCTGTGGAGATGCTCTCGCGGAGCAGAGTCCTTGGCCTCGGTCTGGTCCCTTCCCTTGGGAAGCAGAACGGAGGCATGAGACGCTGGGATCGTGGCCAGCGACGCAGCGCTCCCCCGTCTCATCTCACCTCGTGTCGCCGAGTGCGGTGGCGATAAGTATGTATAACGGCCAGCTCCAGCTGCGTGATTCCAAAACATAAATGGACGGGCCCGGACAGCCGACACGAACCATGTGCGTGCGCCGGCCGCATTATCGAAGACGCTGCCGTGACGCCGCCCCACCGCCAGTTCACCACCAGCTCCACCCAGCCCAGCCAAGAGCATCTAAGCAAGAAAGCTTCGGCCTAAAAGGGGAACAGCACACTGACACCCTCTGCACCAGCTCGCACAGAGGAGTAGCAGAGAGCACCAGCAGCGACCATGGCGGCTAGGTCGTCGGCCCTCCTCGCCGTGCTGGCGGTGGCGGTCGCCGCCGTGAGCGTCCTCCTCACGGGGGCCAAGGCCGACTTCGACGACCAGTTCGAGGCGATCGGCGACCGCGACCACATCGGGTACCGGGACGACGGCAAGGAAAAGGGCCAGGAGTTCTCGCTGGAGCTCGACCAGGAGTCCGGCTCCGGCTTCAAGTCCAAGGCCAAGTACCTCTTCGGCGAGTTCGAGGTCAAGATGAAGCTCGTCGACGGCAACTCCGCCGGCACAGTCACCTCCTTCTACGTCAGTAGTTTCATCCACATCTTCATCTTCCTTCCTTGTGCTCTGCTGGATCTATTCTATTCTTTCTCTCGTTGCTAAATAAAATGGAAAATGGAATGGATGCAGCTGACCTCCGGCGAGAGCGCGACCCACGACGAGATCGACATCGAGTTCATGGGCAACTCCAGCGGCGACCCCTACGTGATGAACACCAACGTGTGGGCCAGCGGCGACGGCAAGAAGGAGCACCAGTTCTACCTCTGGTTCGACCCCTCCGCCGACTTCCACACCTACAAGATCACCTGGAACCCCAAGAACATCATCTTCGAGGTCGACGGCGTGCCCGTGCGCACCTTCAAGAAGTACGACGGCCTGCCCTTCCCCTCCAGCCGCCCCATGACGGTGCACGCCACGCTGTGGGACGGCAGCTACTGGGCGACGCAGCACGGCACCGTCAAGATCCACTGGCGCCACGACCCCTTCGTCGTCCCCTACAAGGCCTACCACGCCAACGGCTGCGTCCACGACAAGGCCACCAACAAGACCTCCTGCCCCGCCGGCAGCGACGCCTGGATGCGCCGCGAGCTCGGCGAGGAGGAGCTCAAGACCGTCGCCTGGGCCGAGCGCAACTGCCTCTCCTACAACTACTGCGCCGACGGCTGGAGGTTCCCCAAGGGATTCCCCGGCGAGTGCGGACGCGACCTATGATGAATTGATGATTCAGTGTTTGTAGCACTAGCAGTACACCTCCGAGCCGAGATTTCATTGATTAATTTCTTCCTTTGCTACAGTAGAATCAATTGTTCTTCTTGTTCATCCCATCTTACCTTTACATAAACCTGTGCCATTTTTTCTTTTCTTTTCTTCGTGTACATTCATTTTTGCCACCTTTACTTGTTTAGATTAGAAGAAATGTGAAGAAAGTGAGAGGAAAAGGGTGGTGTGCGTGCCAATAGTCAATCTTTTGGTTGATCTGTTGACATTTTGTCTTAGGTGTCACTCACATCACATGCATGTTCTCTCCAGAGAGAAAAAAAAGAGCTTTGTATGGATGCGTTTCTGACTTTTTGTTAGAAGAAAGATAACAATGGATTCTTGCAAGCAAATTATATGGTTGTTGAGTGGACGGAAGGAAGCAGACAAGCGACGGTGGCGCGCATTGAGTGATGGCACATGCTCTACTACTCGCACTCGGTGGCACCACGTTCCAGTGGCGCCCACTGTCCGATGGGTACCCCCGTCCGATCTACCTCTCCCGTACACCGTAGTACTAACGCTTTGTCACATGCACAGCGGTAAGAGCATCTGCAAATGGACTTAGCAAATCTGCCCCCGCGGACACGTTCCTATTTGTCCGTTCATGTGGACATACTTATATTTTCTCGTTCGATCATTTGCATGTGATTGATGAGATGAAGAGAGTGAAAAGAAAAGAAAGAATAGTTCGCGTCTTATGTGGTGAACAGACCAGGCGCCCGCGAGCCCTCATGTACTACCTACATTTTGGTCTTGGTACGAGGGTCCGTGGATAGCCCGAATGTATAAAAATGATAGAGAGGTTCGATTAAATCACTTTTTTTCTTTTTTTCCTGTCCGATCAGTGATCCGACACTTCTGTAGACGTTTAAGGAAGGATTCGAGGAGGCCAGTTGTCGATGCTCTAACACTCCTGAAGGCGGTTCTCGTCCTTGCATGAATGAACTCACCTGTTTTAAAGAAAAAAGGGGATTTCCCTTCTGATTTTTTTTTCGAGAGTACGCCAAAAGCGTACCGTATTTTTATAGAAGGAAGAAAGAATGTTTTACAAGAACCCGTGCTAAGACGGGATACACAGAACTCCAACTCCGAAAGAAGACACAAAAGATTACTCTCTCACAAATCTATCTAAGCCCTCAACTCCTATACCCGCCTTCTTCCAAAGCTTGATCTCCTCATGGATGAGCTGGACAAGGTTAGTGTCCGTGCGCGCTTGATCGATCCTGTTGAACACTCTTGCGTTTCTTTGCTTTCATAGATGCGACGCGGTCAAGATGACAAACGAGTCAAACTCTCTCTTGAGCTTACCATGAAAGGACTTCCGAGCCTTGTCCCACCATTTCATGAAAGTGTCCTCTGATTTTCATTAAGGGAAACCAAGCATAACTACAAGCTACAAGCACCAATTCACTTACAGAAGCCGAGTGAAGTCACCTTGATTTTGCTTGCCGAGCTGCATAGGACAATGGTTTCGAAGGTTGTCATGAATGAATCCAAGTCAACCTGAGGGCTAATGTTGGGGATATAATCACAGGATATAACCCGCCCGTTTAGGGCCGGGTCAATGCTGATGGCGACTTACAAGATGGACCAGGCCAGGTGGGCCGAAGACCTCCAGGAGACTCGCCTAGAAGGATAAGCCGCCCGCTGGATGGGCCGGCCCATGACGTGCCGACAGAAGCCTACTTGCGAACTGCCATTGTATTATTCCTTAGAGGACAAGAAAGACTTGGGCACGGATCATGTTTCTGTCCCGAACTCTAATGTACGCCCCTTGTCTCACCCTATATATAAAGGGGAGCCCCAGGGTCAGAAAGATCAAGTTAGAACCCCTCGATTGCTAGGTTAGCCACGCGAAACCCTTGTAATCGAGATCATCAATGCAATCCAAGCAGAAGTAGGCTTTTACCTCCACCGAGAGGGGCCGAATCTGGGTAATCATTGTGTCTCTCGTTTAACCCCTTTGATCTACCACTCGACGCTGATGGCCTCGCGACTAAGTCCTAAGAGGACATCTTTCGTGAAAATACCACGACACTCCCCGTGGTGGATTGGCATCCACCATGAAGGCATCGACGACGTGATTCGCGGCGAGGCCGTGCTTCCGCAGTATCAGGCCGAAGCCGCAGCCGCTGAGGTGCCCGCCTACGCCGATCGTCATGGTAAGCCATGCGTCATCCTAGGGAAGTGGTCAAACTCGCCATGGGAGAACCTCGAGCCGGCTGGCTCGTCCTCTGCCGGTAACGTGGAGCTTACGCTCGCCCTCCAATGGCTACATCTTGCTGACCTCATGTTTTTCAATTTGAGAAGAAATCTGGCAAGGGGATTTTTTTTTGAAAAGGATCTGGCAAGGGGATTTGGGAGGAGAAAATCAAAGGCGATTAGCTTTACGGTGTTGGTTACGTGTTGGACAAGCGGACAGAACCAGCGATGCGACCTGAAGACACCTCATAACCCTTCGTTTATTTTGGAAAATCTCAATCTTCAATCTTCATAGTTAAAACAAAATTAACGGATATAAACAGGATGATGTATGGAGAACTATGAAATCTACCGTCCTTTAATATTATAAATATACTCTTGTATTTTATTTACTCGACTCACCATGAAAATCAGAGTTGCGAAAGGATCGATTGTAACCCCGCTGCACGCCCGCCGTCCACGCCCCATACTCCGAATACGCCACCGCATCCGCCCATTTTGCCCTAGATCCAACGGCTGTCCAGGCCCGCCCCGCATCATCATAACGCAGATAAATACCCCCCACAACGGCTTCTCTCCCTCCCCCGCTCCAGCAGCTTCAGCCGCCCCCCGCCGCCCCCCGGAGCCGTGGGCTGTTTGTTCCACTGGAGGTTTTTATCCCATTCTATCCCCTTCCCCTGGTTCTCAAGTCGTACATCTGAATCCGTGATCTCTAAGGCCAACTCCATCGCGCGACCCTATCTTGTCCGGCCCCGTCCGTTTGGGGTAAAAGAGACAAAAAAGGCGGCCCAGCGCGCGGGAGCAAACGGACATTTGTCCGCTTTGTGTCCGCTTTCGACCCATCCCGACCCAAACTTGCGCTGGTTTTGGGGTGAAACGGACACCGCGCGGACACGTGGGTCGTCTGCGCGTGTCCTCCCCTGGCCCGCCCGTCGGTGGCACAAGACGGGCCTTTTTCTATCCGCCCCCCTCCCTCCCTCCGGCCGCACCCCCTCCACTCTTCCCTACTCTTTCCCGTCGCTGCCGCCGCTACCATTGCAGCCGTGCAGTTCGGACGCGAGCTCGCCTAACCCCTTCCCCTCGGCGCCGGGCTCGAACGCGACCACGACCACCTGGTTTGCGCACCCGCCGGCCGGTTTTGGGGCGGATCCGGTCGGTCTTGAGCTCGGCCGGCCAAGGGAGGCCGGGCCGCGCCATGGACTGGCCGGGCACCTCGCCGGAAGGCCCTGGCAGGGCCGCAAGGCCACATGCAGGCAGTGGCTCCTCCTCTAGCCGCTCGGATCTGCACCGTCGGTGGTCCGCCGGCAGATACACGAATGGCAGCCGGTCGGGCTCGGTGCTTGCCCAAAAGCTCGCCGGCGCACCGTTGCCACTCATTAAGTGCGACCATTGCCCAAGGATGGTCGTGCGCCGCGTATCTACAACGCCGGAACATTCCGGATGGGTGTTCATCAAGTGCTTAAACGATGGGGTATGCGCTTTTTTAGCGTCGGCTTGTGCTCTAAATTTAACTAGTTGTGCTAACTTCAAATTTTGTTGTGTAGAATGGATGCAAGTTTTGGTATTGGGAAGAAGAGTACATCGATATATTGATAGAGAGAAATTTAGTACATGTTCGTGCACTTTTAGCTAGCATAGAGGCCGTAAATTAGACAAGTGTTCCAGAACACTTCATTAGTCGTTTTGATGAAGAGTTCCCTTTCAGAACTACTGGTGGTGGTGTCCACAAAATTCTGCGCATGCTTTCAATGCTTTTGGCGGGAGTTCCAATGGAATCCATGGTATGCTTCTGACTCTATTACTTGATGTCCACAACCTTTTTTTTTGTGAAATCTTTTTGAAATCACTTGCTATCCACCACTTGCTGTAACATTATTGGATTTGAATCCATGCAGTCAACCATGCAGTCAACTAAAAGTGTGAGTCATCACTTCACTGGTGGTGAAATCCGGGCCATTCACTGTGATGATTTCGAGGAAGTTTGTCGGCAAATTGCTGATGGCAATGCTGTGCTTGCTACCTTCTTTGATGGTGTTGGATATGAACAACTGCAGTATTGTCAATACTACACAGCTATGCCTGCCTCTGTTGTGGCTCAACTTATTGCTGATGGGGAGGATGTTTCTGCTCATGTTGTTGTGCTAGTTGGAGTGATATCAGAACAGGGACATAGGGCTTACTTTGCACTAGATTCAGCAGGAACAGCCTTTTGCAGGCAGGTGGGAAGTGCTGAAGGGTGGCGATCTTTGTTCAACTGGAACAAAAAGAGTCAACTCGGAGGATATGGAAAAATCACCGCCGATAGTGCTTGGTTCACTAATTTCTTCAAGGTTTCTAGACAGAATGATCATGGGCTGCCTCCTAAACTCTATGGTATGAATTTCTTCTCTTAAATATAATCTGAACAACTTCCTACGATCTTTGTACTCCCCCATGTAGAACCAAATTTTGCAAAGCTTCAGATTTGTCTTGCAACGTAGTCTCTGCCCAATAAACAATGATAATACTTAATACTAATTGTTTGATAGGTCAAAATATTTTTCTAGGTCATAATAGTTGTCTTGCATAATTTTTTGCAAAGCCTCATCTTTTGCCTCTTCAAGAGCTGCAACTGTAGTCTGGTATCCTGAAACAAAATCCATTATGTTTTCTGTTATTTCTCTGTAAGCATGCCGAGCTTATAACAAAGCTTCACAGTTTGTTTGTTTTCTGTTATTTCATTGGCTGCATCTTTTCATATTCTTCAGTCT